TACATAGAATTCTAACTAGTTGAGGATTTAAAGCCTAAAGACTCCTGATTTCGGGAATAATTTTCACACATGACAGTGGTCTAACTTCCTGATAAACTGGGCGCAGAGGTTAAAGCAAGTTAATCACCAGCCGAAATTACCGAAAATTGGTAGAGCTGTTGCTGGAAATAGGGTTGATTGTCGTTTTTGTCGATGAGGGTTATGGGAATTATTTTGCTTGAGATTTGCGGTGGCACTCCTCGATCAACACATTTAAGTGTGACCGAGGTCAAAGCCTCCACCTCTCTGTCAAATCGACGCGCCGATAGAAGTTGGTAAACCTTTGTTGCGCCGATCCAAGGCAGTGTGTGCAGAGTAAAGTCCGGTGTCCCATCCAGGTCACATTCAAACTCGCCATCAGCATCCGAATCGGGATCGCTCACCGCTACAGTTGCTACCAACTGGCCTGAAGGCATTTCTTCCACCAAACAGAAGTTATCCCTACTCTCATCAAATGTAGGATAGAAGGTGGTATCGTACATATCTTCCACCTTTGGTGTTGCTGGTGTGAGACTTATAATTGGAGCATTATCATTGACATCGTGGAGAATAATTACCACAGTTGCTAGGGCAGTTAGGGGTTGCGGAGCGCCGTCTTCAGCGATCATAGAAAAGACGTACTCAGGGATACCACCAGAATCACAATCTAGGATGTTTTGCACAATAATTTTGCCCGTCTCTGACTCAATAGCAAAATCGCGTCGGACAAATTCGGGTGTGGAGAATGAGAAGCGATAGCGCACACGACCAAAGTCTCCAGCGTCGGCATCTGTTGCTGTGGGATGAAGATGAAGGGCTGTACCAACGGACAAAGATTCGTCAATTTCAATGACGAAACGAGCTTGTCGTGCCTCCTCCTGGGAGAAATTCTTGAGATGGACAAAAATGGGTGGATTGTCATTCTCATCTACAAGATAAACTCGAAGTCCAACTACAACACGTTGCCCGCCGCCATCAATTGCCGCCATCTGCATCTCATACTCCTCCCTCTCTTCCCTGTCAAGCACTTCTAAAACCTGCAGACGCGGAATCACCCCATTTGGGCCCGCCGTGCAGAGGAGAGAAAAACGACCATTTCCATCTGTCTTAACAAGTTCGTAATTAACTATACCGTTCTTTCCATAGTCCCGATCTTCAGCGAGAGGTAGGTCAAACATGCTACCTGTTGGTGCATTCTCCGCTATGAACAACTCAATGGACGGTTCTTTTTCCTTTGAATTGCGTAGTTTGCTCAGGGCAGAATCAGGCCATCGAGGGATATTATCATTAACATCGATGATGGTTATGCGCAGACTAAAAACAACACCATCGTGAGCGAAGAGAACGCCTGACCACGCACATGTTTCAGGCCAGCTGGGTTCGCGGCACAACTTCCTGTCGTTGTCACGATCAAGCAGTCGGTTGACCACTACCGTTTTTTGACCCGGTCCTTTTAGTGCAAAGTACGTTGTATCTTGCAACATAAACAAGGGCCTATCGTCCTGTTTTTTAGAATAATCAGATCCATTGAAGCTGTCCAACGTCCCCACAACATCACCAATAGCCGCATTCTCGGAGATAACAAAGCTTATGATGCCTGCATTAAATTTGGAGGAGGCCAGGGAGGAATCGAATAGGGTTAAGATAATGTAAAGGATGGAGAGACCCATGCCGATATCGAAGTATAGCATATTGCTTTGGGGACAGGAAGTAGGGGAGCGTGGACTACAACAGTGCAGACTCCCCACTAGTACACATGAGCTGGAGCAGTCTGAGTCTTACAGGAGGCAGCTGATTGGATAAGCTGAGGTGGACCAATGGAGTAAGACCACCATTCCGAGACTAGTCTTTTGCCCGGCCTTGTCGTTGAGGGGGGAGTGACAATTTGTTAAATATATGATTATGTATGGATAAATAAATTGTAAAGCGTTAGGACGTCCCTTCACTTCTTGCAAACTAAATCGGAGTACTTGGTCACACTGCTGCCGGCTTTACTGTGATATGACATTGTGGTGATTTTATTCGTTAAAACCAAATAAGAATAAATGGTTAGGTTACAAATTTGCATGAATATCTTTTCTGTTCTTATTTCTTAACTAAATAGATGAGTGGCTCAGTAAACAATGTAAGTTGGAATGGTAGGTAAAAAGAGGCAAACCTGATGGTTTTTCTCTAAATTCCCAAATACTATGGCTCAGTTGTGTACTAGGGGCTACTAAACCTTGCCTGCAAATTTAATGTTTGAAGAATCAGGGAAACTCATAAAGAAGATGATTAATGAGGTTTTATACTTTCAAGAATGGGAATTCCCTGCCCCCTTTTAAGGCTACTTATTTACATCTAGACGGATAATCACTAAAATAAAAAAGCCCAAATTATAAAATTAGGATCCATACCCTTAGAAAACTTGGCAGTGCCACCACTTCAAGCAATTCTTTGGCCCGCGTAAGTTTTCATTAGATTCAAAAATGGCGACACTCTTTAATTGCAGTGGAATCATATGAATTTTTTTGGGTTGTCAAAGTGACATTTTGGATGGGAACAGTAGCAACGAGCCCGATGCCACGCAAATTCTTCTGGCATTAGTTCGGATGAAAGCGGTGACCAAAATCTCCTGGATGTAACTAAGGAAATATGGAAAAAGACAGGAGAAATTAGGCATGTGAGCTGGTACAAAGTTGTTAATCTGGTTGCAGATTAATTTTTTATCAAAGTCCTATTTGACAAATGCTTTAACAGTTCTGTTTCAGGTCGCTAAAAGTAGGAGTAACCGAATAAGCAGCATTGAATTATGATGCCTCGATTCTCCCGTTTACCTTCATTTATTACGCAACCAGCTTAAAAGCACTTATAAATATTTGCTTAGACAAAATTAGCTGTGAAATTTCATTTGACTGTTGGTACGCAAACAAAAATCACACTTTCACTTGTTCACTACCATCACCTTCACCGTAGAAACAGGGGACGAAAATCGGTTGGGTGGGACTTATTCTTCCTCAAAAAGTGATGGTAGTTCTGCTTCAGTAAATCCAAAAATCCTGAACAGCTAACACATCAGTAACTCAAACTGCATATCAAGATCTCGAGGCGTTAGAGTCACAGGTTCTAACTGAATGGCGTGTATGCCATCAGGCTTAGACATTAATAAACCATGGAGTCAGTAATCTGGGCACAGAGCTTCTCCTCTGCAATGACATCACGGTGTCCCATTGGATGAGACAGAGATGCATTAGTTTTCAACACAGCAGAGCTTGGAGCACTTGCGAATCCCCACCAAATTGATTTCCAGTTAGAGCGTATTCCACGTGGAGGAGTTTGAAGTCTGCCAGTTGACGGCAATGACCAGAGGCATTAGTCGGACTCCAATTTAAGAGTCAAATTGCTAAAAATCGCATTCTTATTCATAAAAATAAGTTTAATCTCATTTTCAAAGGAAATGATAGCCATACTTGATGAATAACACTTTATTATTAGCATGAAACCGATTATCTTGTAAATGTACAAAAGTGGGAGGTGTTAACCAAGTGAGTATGGAGTTGTTGATTTTAATCTATGCTTTAAGCTTTCATAGCCGAGACCTGTTTCCACTGTTGCTAGACTTCACTCTGAAAAGGTTCTTATTTGTAATTCCTCACGAAACCAAAGCACTATTTTCATTTAAAAGTGCTTAAATTTTTGTATTCGCTATAAAAATATCGCCCTAATTGGACCCCAGTTTTTTTGTGTTCCAGTAAAAGCCGTGAGAGCCCCCAAAGAAAGCACCAGTCTTCAATAGCTAACCGATACTTCTGCCAGTAATTAATTATTTTGCCTTTTGAAAGGATACAATTTAATCAGCAATGAGAAAGACAACTTGACGATTTATTCATCACTTCTTTCATCCGATGTTTAGGGAAGTAGGTGTAAAAGAAGTTTAATTTGCCTTTATGCTTTTTGGGTTAAATTATTTTCAGGCATAAAAAGTACAGCCACTTGAAACTTGCACAAGTGGAATGCAGTATTTTTAAAATAATCACAAGGTTTTTGTTAATTATATCATTGTATTGAGGCGGTTGAATAATTTTTAAACACGCCTTTCATTTTAATTAACCATCCTTGGTTTGTGGTAATAAGTGCGTTGTTAAAACTAAAAAGCATCTGTTTACAAAAGATCGGTATTTTAATTTTACTTTACATTTGAAACAAACACGTAAGGTCAGAATAGCAGAAAACCCCGTAAGCGTTTCCTCTTAGTTTGGTGCCACATTGTAACACACTAACCGTGGCATTCAAGTAACTTTGGGCAAGATGTTGGCAAGCTTGCGTGGATGCATTTACGGTCTGCAACACCTTTGCTTATCCGGTTGTGGCCACTACTGGAAGCCCCAAAAAGCCCCCCAAAATGTAGTTCACTTTAATCATGAATTACTTTTTTGAGTGTCTTTGGCATCTGTAAGGTCTTACATAGTCCAGTAAAGAGCCAGATTAGTAAGCTAGGGCCTTAATCGCTATAAACCGAAGCGGGTACTCCGTGATGGTAAATCAACTAAAAGAAGAAAGCTAAAGTAACCGTTTCAGGGCCTTGTGACTTCATAGGTTCTACCTCAGCTACTTTTGTGAAGTAGTCTACCAATAACCAGAGCATATAGGTTTCCTCTCTTGGTGGGTGGTAGATGGGCCATGATATCTCTACCTGTTCTCCCCTGGGAGCCCTGTGGGCATGGATTGCAATGGTGCGATCGCTGTGAGATGAGGCCCCTTTTGAAACTTCTCCTAGTAGTACGGGTTCAACCGAAATCTAGTCCATTTGGAATGAAAGAAGGTCACCACTATCTTTTGTTCGAGGCATCTAGCATCTTCTTTTCAACCATGTGGCCAAGTTGCTCGTGTAACTCTTGAATAACTGGGACCACTAGGGGCTCGGGGGACTTGACGTCTTCTTAGTGCCATAAATCTACATCCTCAAGAGTGAGCTTTGGCTATTCTTACTCTATCCATCTGGCCACCTTGCTGAACAAGGTCATCTCTTCCCCTATGGGTGCATAAGAAGATGTCGGGAACACCTCGTATACTATAGCCATGTCAGGATCAGTACTTTGCAAGTTTCTCCAGTTATGTTCAGTAGGTTAGGTCAAAAATGTGGCACGAACTACAACATTCTTCGTTTCTGCCACAACCGGTCTGCTGGACAGAGCGTCTAGACTACTATGAGCATTCCCTTTCCTCTATTGAACTGTAAAATCATATTATTGCTGTTCTTCATCCCAGCATGTACATTGTTTTTAACAAGGTGAGAGCCTGATGATCTGTTCTGACTATGAACTTTCGCGTTATCAAGTAATGTCCGAAGTGTCCAACCATTGTGTAGATAACAAACAACTCACGTCGTGTCGCAGTTTTCGCTCATTTTTTTTCGCTGTCTGGTACTCGCGCAAAAAATGACGTGTTCCATTCCTTCTTTATCACTTTGTCAGAGTACACTACCCAGGTCTGCGTCGCTCGCGTCCGTATCTAGTACAAGTGGTGGGTTGCGCAATTCGAGGTTTGGCAACGCTAGAATCGGTGCGAAGCAGAGTATTCGCTTCAGTTCCGTAAACGCCTCATCATACTCTTTCTCTGACTTTAAATTCTTCTTTGTCTGTTTTTTGGTTATTTATGCAGCGGACTGGAGATCTTAGCAAAACCTTTATCAAACCGCTTGTATTAATTTGTCAAACCTGAAAAATTATAGACCTTCTTTTGGTTGGTGTTGGCCACTTCCTCATTTCCTATTTTTTTGATCTTCATTGACTGACATCTCACCTGAAGAGTGTGTATGTCCTGGGAAGGTGACAGGGGTTGAAGGAAACGGTATTTATTTGGGTTCGGAGTCAACCCTGCGTCTCGCAAACGGTCTGACACTAGTTTCAGGTTGGCGTTATGCTCTAAAATATCTCTATCAACGACTAGACTATAAACGAGATACACTATACAATATTTTGGAAATGAATCTACAAACGCTGAATGCATCAGGCATTGGAAGGTGGCCGCTGAGTTGCAGAGTCCAAAGGACATTGTTTGAAATTCAAAAATCCCGTTTGGCAAAATATAACCTGTCTTTTCTCGCTCCGTCTCTGCCACTTTCACTTGCCAGTATCCTGATTCTAAGTCTATGGTAAGGGAACCACTTTGACCCATGTAAGGAGTCTAGTGAGTCATTTAAGTGGGGTAAGTGGGACGCATTGCTCACATTTACGGCGTTCAACTTCCCATAGTCGATGCATAACAGTAGACTACCATCGTTCTTCCTTACCAGTGAGCTCGGAGGGTCCCATAATGACTTAGACGGCTTTATAACCTCATCGTGATCATCTCTTCAACCAGACCACTTGCTTCCCCCAGAAGAGGAGGTGGAATACGTCTGGGTGGCTGCCAGATGAATCTAGCTTCGCCGGTATCAATCGTAGGCTTGACGATATTTGTTCGTCCCAGTTTAGCACCCTACCATGGAAAGATGTTCGCATGCTTGATCAAGAGCTCACAAAATTCCTTCTTCTCATCATCGGAAACGTGGGTCATCTAAATTGTTAATAGGAATGGCTGCACCTTCAAGAAGAGCGCTGTAGATGTCACCTGCTTCTTCTCTCGGTAGCGAAACAGCTGCGTTGGCTTCAGTGCCTTGCTGAGTGGAAACGGTGCCTTCCACAAAATTTAGGATAGACTTGGCGTTACG